TTCAGTCCTTATTCTGTTGGCTCTCATGCCCTCAATTTTGTGACCTTTCTGCAGCAGTCATACTTGTACCAGTGGAGATCAATTCAGCTGGAGAGAAGCTTTCCTTTAGCTGTGCGTGGCTCGGAGTGGCGCTCCCCAGTGCATCTTGTAGGTTCCTCAGCACGCAGCTGTGTGCCACAGCGAGCGGCACTCGCGGTGTTCTCGGCGCTCAGCAATCCTGCCCTTGCCACTCATTCCCATCTAACGCTTGAAGCATCAGCCGTGGGGGGACTGGGCCATGAAAACAGGCCAGTGGAGGTAGTTTGAGACAAGGTGGTGAATTCCCTTAGCGCTCTCACGGCTCTGGAATGCAGACGTGGCATCTGGGATAGAGCAAGCCACTGGTGAGGATAGTTCTTGCAAATCCTGCCCTCCCCGCTGTGCTGTTAGACAAGCTGCTTTGAGCCCTGCCTGGAAACAGCGTACCTAGAAGAAACTCTCTTATGTTTTCCTTACAGTATATCCAGGCTTGCCGCAGCTCCTTGAATACGATTCCAGGACGGCTAGAGAAGCTGGTGAGTGGGAGCGAATTGCTGGAGGAAGTGGCTCGTTGCCTTGACTTGGGAGTAACAGCAGCCTCTCTGCTTCTCTGCAGGTGAAGCTCTCAGGTTCCCATTTGACGCCACAGTGTTACTCATTCATCACTTATGTACAGGTAAGGCCTAAATTAACTGGCAAAATCACAGTCAGTCTCTCTGATGCCGAGTGGTGTATCAGCTGCAACACACGGGCACCTTTGGGGATTATTAATCTTCTTGACGTGACTTGAGTTTCTTATATTTCAGGCTTTACTATGTCAAATAACAGTATAAGACATTTCAGCACCATTGGGACCAAGCATATTGATTTCTGCTTAAGCAGGGAAGGAAGAGGGTTTGGGGAGCTGGTTTAAACTTTTATTTTCCCCACTCTGCTCATGTTGGTTTGGTTTTACTTTTTATGAGATTAATACTGCTGGTAACCACAATGGCAAATAAAGGTCCACAACACTGCAGTCATCACAGTGTAAAGTAATGTGGGTGCCTGAGACTGCTGTGGCCAAGATGGGATTTAGCTGTTTGGAGAGGAATTGGGTGTTGGAGTGAGGAACTGTGGAACAGACATGGCCTATTGGGGAAGGTGTAGTGGTGTGCAGAGCTACCACTCCTGGGGACTTCTCACACATACATATTTCTGAATGTGTAAATTATGAAGTCGGTTTTTTCCTTCCTTCCTTTTTTTTTGAGATTACCCCCAATTCCATCCTTCTTGTATCACTACCTTTCTGTCATCTAGCTGGTAATGCTGTTAGCTGGGCAAAGGCTTCTCTGGCCTTACTTGGCTGGCCTTTCTTCCCTGCTTACCCTCTTAATGACGCATCTTTTGGCATCCTCCTTCAGAACATCCACAGTGAGAGCTTAAGCTTTGCAGAAGAGAAGAAAAAGAAGAAGAAAGAGGATGAAGCTGCTGCCATCTCCACAGTCATGGTAAGATTGACTCACTCTCTATTAGAACATGGGCTGTATTTGAACTTGGGTTATGTATAGCATGATTTAGGCAGAGAGTTGAGTAACATAGTCATATATGTATAGTGTGAGCTCTGTAATTCTCATTAACATAAGCAGGGGTGTTAACTGTAATATTAATTTTGTAGATAATTAAGCAAAGGTTTCACTCCAGGGCATCGCAGCCTTCAGAGTTTTGTGCTGAAACTTTTTCTGCTTGGTTCCTCGCTCTTCAGCCAAAATGGAGCTGTCTTGCTGCTGCAAGGCTCCCTCTTTCAGCTGTTACCTCCCCTCGCAAGGTTTGTAGAAGGGAGAAGCAGGTACCAGCATTCTTAACCTTTTGCTGTTTTTTGCCAGATGATCAAATTGCTCAGCTCTCGTCCTTGCTCTACCCAGGGCATGATAAACACGCTGCTTTACTTGGCTTAAGTTGAACCTTACAAGCCTGGCATTTCTCCACCAGATCATACTTCAAGGCTTGGATTACCTGGGGGCTTCTTAGATCACCAATGACAAATTGCCATTTGGGTCTTTAAGTAAAAATCAAATTTATTCTACCTTAACTTCAGAGGAAAGTCTAAAAAAACCCCAAACAGACAAAAAAAACAACCAAAAAAGCCACCTGAACTAAATGCAGCATAAAAGCTCACAGACTTGAAATAAAGTTCAAATCTAGATAGTCTGTCTTGTCTGATAGCTTATCATTTGGGGTAAGCTATGAAATTACAGAAATGGGCTAATTTATTGGCACTCTGTTTAGGTGTTTCTTAATTTCATCACTACATTTAAAGATAAAGTAGTGGATTCCACTAAAGTAAGGCAGTTGAGAGTGACAGGATGATTTGGTTGGGAGCAAATGAGCAGGCTGGCAGGTTCCCGGTCTCTTATGTCCTTTGTTTGCGCTCCCAGCTAGCATTTCCTCTGCCTCTGTCAGTTGTCCCAGACATTCCTGTGACCTTAAGGGTTTAAAAGCCACAAGCATGATCTTCCTAGCTGTTCCCTGAGCGTATGGAAATGGGCTGAAGGGCTCCGTGTCCTTTTACCACTCTGTCACCATGGAGAACAAACATCAGTGGTGGTAAATAATCCGGGCAAAAATGTGGTGAAACAGCCATGTGCTCGTTGCCTGGAAGGTGTATGCTTGTTGATGCCTTGGCAGAGCTGGAGCAGAGGAGGTTTTGCTCCGATGGCTGTCAGACATATCAGGGCTGTGGACTGCAAGTAGAGTACAAAACCATACAGAGGAGGGCCTCGCTGCAGAACCATCATGGGAGTCAATTTAAAACCAGTAGCAAAGAGGGCCAGGCTTGCTGGGGCAGGACTGGTAGGGAGCAAGGCTCCTGAAGACACTTTTCTAACCTGGGAGTGTTGCAGTCTTCATGTCATGCTGTAGCGTCATTGTTCACTTCCAAACCTGACCCATCGCACTGCTGTCTGCATTTCAGGCTAAGGTGCTTCGGGAGACCAAGCCAATCCCAAACCTGATTTTTGCAATAGAGCAGTATGAGAAGTTCCTTATCCATCTCTCCAAGAAATCAAAGGTAACGTAAAGCAGAGCTCTTCTGTGATCTGAACTCTGCGGAGCAGGGGGATTTGGGGCATGGTGGAGGGCTATTGCTGGTCCACCTTTTAAAGTCTCTATTAGTGCTCAAGTTAGGAGAGTGTAAGGACCTTGCACCTCTTTCAGCCTTTGCTGAATTGCTGTCACACTGAGCTATGTCAGTGGCAGGACTGCCTGTCACCTAAGAGCATGTGGTTTCTGGGTGAGCAGAAACCTACACACCTCATACCTGCTTTCCTCACCCCTCTCCCCCAGCCTCTTTCCCAAGCAGGAGTGAGATGTACCACGATGAGGTCCTACTCGAGTGTGAGAGTAACTAGCAATCACTGGGCTTTTAGGAGAACATAAATGGGCCACTAGATTGCATGGGGGCCTGTGTTTTTTTCACCTTCCTTGTGCTTGGATCCTGCATTATTACTGTGATGGCCTCAGTCCCAGTGCTGTGCAAAGGACGAGGCAGCCCAGAAAACTAAACTGAGATGCTAATGGCACGATCCTCTCCCCCTGGTTTCGCCTTGGTTGCTGCAGGTGAACTTGATGCAATATATGAAGCTAAGCACCTCCCGGGACTTCCGCATCAACGCATCCATGCTGGACAGCGCGCTGCAGGAGCACAACACCGAGGATGCTGAAAACGAGCCAGACAACGACCAGGTCAGAACTCATTTAGCTGCTTTTACTGCTAGGTTTCCCCCTCTTTTGAGGCCAACTGTAGTTGTGAGCTGCGCAGGTATGTGTGAAATCAAGACAGTTTGTCTTCCCTAGGTTAGCTCTCACTCAGGAGTGAACAGTTATTGTGGCTAACATCCCCTATGCTCCAGCCCTCTGCCTCGAGTGACCTTTATTTCCACACACCAATTGTATCTGTGGTCTTAGGGAAGCGAGACTCCTCTTAAGGCCTTGCTGTTTGCCTCAGCAAGCAGAGAGGTCTATCAGCGTTACTTCTGAGGACCCAGTGGCTGGCCAGGTTCAGACCTTTGCAGCATGATGCAACGTGGTTTTGCATACAGGTTAATGGTTGTAGATTTTTTTTTTTTGCCTCTGCAAGGCATCATCCTCCTCAGACCCAGCTCCTCTACTAGAACAGTGCTGGTGAAAGTAGCAGAACCTGTGCTGGATAAAAAAAATAAACAGTTTACTTTGCTGATTGTCCAGGTTTTTATTGGTGCTTCTGTTGCTACTTTCCTGAGTGTTTCAACAAGACAAAACCCAGCACAAACAGTCCCCATCCTGTGCCATTCATAACCTCTGGGCTAAGTTCCAGCATGAACTGGGGGGATGTCCATGGGGAAAGTCTCAGTGGGTGAGAGAAGTCCCACATTCAGGTAATCTCGTTATGGAGGAAAAAAAAAAGTTACAAGCCTGTTCTGCACATCTGGTTTCTTACTTTAGGTAAACATTCCTTAGACTAATCACACAAAACCAATCACACTCTGTACTGCTACTCTCTCTCTCCCTCCCCTCTCCAGAGCAGCACAGCAGAGGAGACAGATGAGAACCAGGAACCCAAAAAGAAGAGACAGCGAAAAAAATAAAGCTGGGGCTGACACTGCTGCCTCCTCCCCCAGGGGCTATTCTGCGGCAGACTCGCCTTGGTCTTGGAGAACTGTGCCTACGGAGATGATGGTTTGTTGTTTCTCTTGCCAAATACTCCCGAATTCTTCCTTCCTGCCCCTGGGCGTGCGAGCAGAGACTCTGGCCCCCTGTCTCAGGTTCTACAGCTGGCTGCTGCCATCGCAAGTGCCTCTGCTATTCCAATGTGCTGCTATCAAAATCTTCTTCCTCAGGAACATTCGTTCGTACAGCAAAAAGGGCCCAGAGTGACCAGGATCACTCCCTGCCAAAAGATGTCCTGAAAGGAGAGCTCGGCTCTGGCACGCAGTCTGGACAATTGTCACTCTGACACTCTAGCGTCATCATTTCTTCTCCAGCGAACCTTTGGTTATTTCAATTAGCTGATAGATATCCAGTGCTTCTCCTGGAAGACAATGGGACAATCAGTTCCGTGCATGCTGTGGTACACTCAGAGACTGTGTAACATAAGAGAGTGACGGTCAGAATTTGCTTTCGTTCAGAAAGTGTGGCACAAAAAGCTCTAAATTTATTCCAACTTCTGTTTTGAGTGGTTGTGGGAACGCAAGAGCCAGCACCAGTGGGAAGCTGGACCCACGAGCTGTTCTGCCTTGGAGTTAAAGCTGCGTGCAGCTCCTGAGAAGCAAAGAGGTGACAGCTTCCTCTGGCAAGGCTGGTTTTGCTGTTAATACTTTTGCTGACCCTGATGAGATGCGCTTGTTTCTTTAATTTGCCTTGTGCTTGGTGAAAACAGATGTGCCCTTTTTGCCCCCCAGAACACAAATCCTGTTTCTAAAAGCACCCTTTGCCTGCAAAACTCCTAATAAAGATTACTTAAGGGCAGAGCACCTGCTGTGTCCAACGACTGAGAGAACAAATCTGAGGGCACATGCTTCTCCTCTGGGAAAACACTGCTGCACATCAAGGGGAGCTGTTTAGAGCCCCTCTCAGCCAAGAGTTAAATGTTTGCTTGCAGCAGGTAGAGGGTTATATTGAGTGCAGACAGGGATGACTCTAGGCCTTGGGATTGTTGGGGAAGAACACAGCAATGCCAAGGCAGTGCTGGGTTAAGGGGGAGCAGGGTGGGGGAGAGAAAGCACCGCAGGATGGAAAAGTTTGGGTCTGGAGGGCAAAATATCCAAGGTGGTTGAGGCTCCTCATTTCAGAGAGGGAACAATTCAATCTTGCATTGGAAGTGCACAGAAGGGCTCCCTCTGAGGGGCACAAAGCAAACGTGTGTGGGATAACAGGGCCAGGCCTGGCTCATCACTATCAGAAGAATTTGAAAGCAGCAGCACAAACTACTCAGGGATTGAGAAAGAAGAGGGGTACAGAGGTGCTGGCACCAGGGTGGCGGTTGCCCTGCAGGGGGAGGAGCCCTCGGGGAATGACTGCTTAGGCCAAGTGCTCTGCCTAAACTGGGGAGGCTTGCGCAGAGGGGACTCGAGGGAGGAACAGCGTGCACAGGCACTGCTCACCTTGAGGGATGCCATACTTCTTCTCCATCCCGGTTGGATTTGATGGCGTCACGCAGTTCATGGTCACCTCTTTCCTTAAGCACTGGTCGATATCCACCGCGCTGAAGAAAGCCACTGACTGTGGCAGATCCTGGAGGCCCAGTTTGTAAGCAAACATGCTCCTGGAAGAACAAGAGACGAGGTGGGACAGTGCTACACATCACCCTGAGCCTCGTCACGCCTGGCTCTGATCAGCCACAGCTTCACAGTACCCAGGCCAGCCACTGCTGGCAGGGTCCTGCGCACCCACGTCGCTCAGCCGCTGGAAGCGAAGGTGCTCCTGAAGCACTGGGTAGCAGGAGGGTCAAGTATTGCTAAAGTGGATGTGGGGGGAACAGAGTAACAGTAGGTTGAGCCTCCTCGGAAGAAAAGAAGAACCCAGCCCTTTGCTGCTGGCTAATCCTCCCCGGCAGAGCAGATGCTGGATTTTCCCAGCAGGACGCCCTGTGCTCGCGGCAGCCGGCACAAAGGCACGAACGTCAGGGCG